ACCAAGAACAAAGGAGAGACTGTTGATGGCTAGTGGGCGATGTAACCAGAGGACAAAAGAGGTAAAGAGCTCTGGGAATCCACATTCGAATTCTGTTTCCTATTTGAAGCCTCACACTTGGTTTAATGGTAGTGTATATGTCTGTCTGTGTACAAAGGTAGATCCTTTTCAATCACTCTCCACCTACCTGATAGCAGAAAAATAAGAAAATTACTGTGTGTAGACCAGTGGGTGTATTCCCTCCAAATTCAAAGATAAAATAAACTTGAACTCCTATGGTTTGTACTTTAACCAAAACAAGCGGAAGACGGGACCTTGAACATTTGAACAGCCCACTCGGGTGAAATTGCACATTGTCTCTACAAATCCTTAAAACCACTAGAAATGTCTCAGGTCACAATGTCTTTCTCAAAGAGGAGGCATGGAGCCTGGGCATTTTTCTATGTCACTCATGGGCGTCAAGGAAGGTCCAGTTCCAGGGTGGCCAGCAGGTGGCTCGGCCCCATGCTGCCCTTCAGGGTATGGAGTTGCTCCTGGACCGGGTGCTTTCCTTGACTCAAGCAGCTTTCTTTGCCTTTCACCCATAGAGCAGCAGGGCCCTTCAGGAAGGTTATTATTCATGAATCTCTCCTTGGGATTGCACGACCCCAGCAGCCGCTCCCTGCCAAGTGTTCTTCTCCTTCCATGTATCAATACAGAAATCTAACCCCCAAACTGTCCCTGGGTGACCAACATCAGGATACACACAGAGAGAGGAAAAAATACATTGTTTTGCCAAAGAAAAAAATTCTGAGTCCAAATAGGCAACTATTGAACAATCTAGATTCAGAAGCAGTCTGCATTTATAAATATGTTTCAATTTAATTTTGCTGTCTAGACTGGATGGGTTTGTCATTTGAGCTATGAACTATTGTTTCTCTCAAGTGGAAAGTTACATCAGGAACAATGAATTCCTGGGTCCGACTCAGCAGACAACTGAGTACACAGAGTCCCGGAAATCTCTGGATCATCCAGGTTCTAATGCATTTATTTTATAATTTAAAAAAATTATATCCTGAGCTGGAGAGATGCCTCTGTCCAGAAAAGTACTTGCCACACAAGCATGAGAACCTGAATTCAATCCCTAGAAACCGTGTAAAATTTCAGGGTGTGGCAGTACACTCTTATAGTCAAAACTCTGGGGAGATGGACACAGGGGAGGGCCCTGGGGTCCACTGACCACTCGGCCCAGCTGACCCAATGAGTTCCAGATTCAGTGAGAGACTGTGTAAAGAAACAAGGTGGGCAGTGACTGAGGATGGTAACTGGGGTTGAGCTCTGGCCTCCACACACACAGAGGTGCACTTGCACACACATGAACACAAATACATACACACTCATAGAAATCATAATTCTACTATTTGAAATGCCTGCCACCCTACTGCAGATGGTTGGTTATACAAAATCTTGGAGATATAGGCTGTGCTGTGATGGCATCTCAGAATGAGGAGGGCATCGGGGGCATCCTGGATGGTATGTAATGGTTTTATGTCATATTTCACATCAACAAATAAGATGGTGGCAGTAATAAGTATTACAGGAAACCTGATCCAGCCATGGTATTCTCAAGACAGTTTCTGTAGCAGAGTGTCAGCAGAGCCCAGGGGGCAAGTTCCCTCTGACACTTTGATGTACCTTTTATTCTGTGACAGAGATCACTTCAAGACCCATAGGTCACCCCCAAATTCATCATGGCTTTCCATGTTAAACAGAGGCCTCAACTAAATTCATATGTGGAACACCAGAGTGCTGCCTGACAGAACTAAGAGAATTTTGAAATCCTCCATTTGATATGAGGCGACTGCTAGCCAAAGCTGATAGCATCTTGCATGTGTCTGTTCTCATGGTCCTTGCTCCTTTAACACGTGTAGGAAGCCTCATTTGATAGTAACAGGAAACACACATGAACACGACGGGTCTCCCTAGATAACTGTATTGGCAGAGTAAAATAATTTGGATTTTAATGCAATGTAATATTAAGCTAAAACAGAAATTCCAAGACCCAGGGATTTGAGAAAAAGAAATGAAGAAACAGATTCCTTAGGAAAATGTGCTCTATCCTATTTCTAAATTTTTTAATGTGTATTCTCTGAATGTATGTTGGTGCACCCGTTTCATGCAATGCCTGCAGATGTCAGAAGAGGGTGTCGGATCCCCTGGAACTGGAGTTAGGGCAATTGTTACCTGCTATATGGGTGTTGGGAATCGAACCCGGGACCTCTGCAAGAGCAGTCAGCGCTCTTAACTGCTGAGCCATCTCTCCAGCTGCATTCTAAAATTTTTTTAACTTGGTCTTTCTTGGGTTTTTGCTCCAAAGAGCTTACTATTATAATAGATCATGTACAACGATAGTGTATAGAAGCAGTTTTACCTCAAAGTAAGGTATACCATGTTAACAGTAATTTGGCTTTAAACAGTGCCATCATCCTGTAATTATCAAAGAATTTCTATTCTCTTCTTCTAGCTTGAAGAAAATATCTTTTAATATCTAGGATTATATAATGAAAGCCTTGTTCATAGCATCTCAAATTTTCCATTGGATTAGTTTTACACCTCTGAAAGAGAAACTCTCAACTTCCACTGATGCAAACTGACTTTCACCTGGAAGAAATTCCAGCTTTTGAACAGCAAAAAGTTGCATCTCTCTAAGAGCTGATCATTCCCTTGGGTACAAAGCACTAGGCATGAAGTTGTGCCCCAAAAGGTCAGTGAAACACCAGAGGAAAGCCAGCGTGCAGACAGGAGAGCTGGCGGGTGCCTCGGCCACCACTGTGCCTCATCTGCAGGTTCCAGGCTGCTCAGGTATCTAGGGTATCACATTGGAACAGGCTGGCATCCTCAAGATGTGAGCCAGGGACCCTGGGGTGTCTACTTCCTTTGGGGGAGTCCATGAGATTAAAGACACTGTTGATCTTATGAGAGATATTATAAAAGATGTAGTTGGACTATAAAAGGTTTTATTCTTTTTAAAAATATCTGATTTGTTATTTTATTTTTCTTTTATGTGTATGAGTGTATTGCCTATATGTATGTAAGTGTGCCCATGTCATATAATGCCTAAGGAGGTCAGAAGAGGGTGCTGGGTCCCCTGGAACTGGAGTTACAGATTTAGCTGCCATGTGGGTGCTGGAAATCAAACCTGGATCCTCTGCAAGAACAACCAGTGCTCTTAACTATTGAGCCATCTCTCCAGACCCCTGCTTTTATTGTTTTTAAAATCTTATCCTCTCCCAGGCACATGGTGGAATTTTCCAGAAGCTCTGCATCACGTGTAACAGCCTGAACACAGAAGCAGAGAAGAAAACCTATCTGACCTCTGTTGGTTAGACTCTTGTCCGTAAATACATTTGGTGATTTGAAAACTGGATGAGTTTTCGTAAAGAAAAATTCCTTCTGTTAACATGAAGTAGGCTTATTACTTTCAATGAATTAATAAGCAAACGAAATTGCTCTGTTTTCATTCCTAATGTAGATATGCTCAGTAGACAAACCAATACACACAAAAGGTCTGGGAGCTCATCAGGCACTCTTAAGACTAGAAATAAGTTATGGCAATAAAACGTTGGGGGACCAACATAGTCAAGGATCTCTGCGGAGTCTTTGGACTGACAAACCTATGATCCTTATGCTGTGAAAGTCACTGAGCATGAGTGTGGGTAGACAGGTGACTGTGAATGCGTGACCCGGAGGATCAGCCACGGCCGACAGCTAGATGCTCCCCTATGACAGGCAGTCTGTCCTCATTTAGAACCGATAGCTACAACCTCCTCCTTTGCTCCATCCCTCTACTTTCTGACATCTGGCCAGTATCGCACATACTCCCCATCCTACAGAAGAGACAGAAATGCTCTGTGCAGAAAAGGAGGCACCCTCAGACTAGGGAAAGACCTGCGTCCTTCCTCCCCATCACCCACTCTGAGGAGGTCCCTGTCCACACAGCAATGAGGTGGCCCTTCTACCTCAGTACCCACTGCTTTAACCCTGCCCAGTAGGACCAGGACAACACAGAGGGATGTTCCCCTACTTGAGTCTTGCGTGCACTGGATCACAGACTTACCACAGCGAACACATAGTGTTTTAGACTCCTGAGGAGTTTTGGCATTTGTGTTTGAGATCAACATTACCTACACTTTGATGGACACCAGCATGAATTTCATCCCTTTGGAGGCAAGAGGGGTTTTCCACAAAAGGAGAGTTCATTTTATAACTCATAAAAAGTAAGAACCCCCAGAGCCGCACTGCAGTCCTTGGAGCTGTAGGTAAGGGAGTTCATTATTCTGTATTGTCCTCTATCTGAACCACTTGGGTTAGGGAGCTGGTTCTCATCCATACCTACAACCCAGCTCTCACACACCAATGTTTGGTTTCTATAGATACATGAAGCTTATAACCTAAGGTTGTGGTAGAGCCTGGAGAGATGAGAGGCGAGGACTCAGCACCAGTGGGATCTTGTCCGCTGGTGAGCCTTTGTGGTGAAAGCAACACGTCCACCTCAACACCACCCCCAGAACTAGCAACTGGGTTCCGGGTACTCAGAAGGGTGGAAATCAGTCTCCCACCCTCTCCTCAGGAGTGGAGCATTTCACAGTTTGCAAAGCACTTATCTCATTTGATCTCATTTTATCCTCACAACAACTCGGGTGGATTCTCACCAACCCTAATGAAGAAAGCGGAGAACTATATTCGCATTGCATTGTAATTATCATGTTGCCCAAAATGGGAGTCTTCTTTTGGGAGGGAAACTGTTCTAACCACCGCATTTAGCTTGCTCAGTTTTCTTTGTAAAGCCAGACCACAGGGCTCTCTGTAAGCTGCTAAAAGCCACTCTAAACTAAAGCACAGACCTAAATAGTAAGCTGATTTGGATGGAACGCAGGGGAAGGCACCGCCAGGAGCTGTGCACGGCCCCAGGGGATGCAGATGGGGATGGGGAGGCTGTCAGACCTTCCACGCCATCTTACCGTTTTCTCCCGACGTCTTGTCTTTTCCGTTGGTCGCTCCAGCAGCTTGTCTCTAAAAGCATTAAAAAAAGAAAGAAAAGAAAAAGAGAGAAGAAATGATCAGAGATGTATTTAGGATTTTTCCCTCTTTTATTGACTCATATTTATCTTTTATTAACTTACATTTATCTTTTGTGTCACACTCAGATTTATGTCCCTTTAGCTCACAAGTTTTAAAGCACAGTGCTGGTGAGATCACAAAACAGTAGGTCCAGGAGAGAACCTGCTGAAATCACCCACCACCTCCCTCAGCCGTGCCCACCACTGGCTGAATGCAGCTCGGAAGTCACAAGGAGCCGGCGATGGTTGATTGAACATAGCCCCATCCCAATAGGAGAGGGACGACCAAGGCTTAGTACCAACCACGGGGCTGCCGAGACTAGCCTCTCACTGGTCTGTTCTTGCGCTGGACACCAGGCACAGGGCTAACAACTGAGCAACCTTGATGCTGATAGTTTCTCTATTGCTGAGTCATTCTACCTACCGTTGTCTGGGTCTGATCCGAGTATTTCCATCCTGCCAGTTTGGCAAGAAATATGATGTTTCTACGAGATTTTTTTTTTATTTAATTTGTATTCTTTGAAAGTTTTATACATGTATGTAGTGAATTTTAGTCATCCTTAATTAAACTCAAAATGAAGAATTTTAAGGTCAGATTTGCATCTTTCAGGAAGATTTCCTGAGAAGTCTCAGGATCTCTGTAAAATGCATCACACCTAGAAAGAGAAAGCTCATCTCTTCAAAGCTTAGCATGACCTCTGCACATAGTCTTGTCCACCGAGGCCAGTTCCTTCTGTTACCAAGTGTTTGACTGTTATCAGAAAATACCCAAAATGCCCAAAGAGACCTGACAAAAACTGTAAAGACTCTAACTTCCAGGAGAAGAAAATGAGGTAGGTAGGAAGCTTGACTTGTCCAAGGTCAGGGAGCTAATGAGCGGCAGGAACCTGGGCTCCATGCTCAGAGGATGGTGTCCTGCGGAAATCAACACTGACATAACCACAGAAGAAACCACCAAAGGTAACCCCACTTGGAAATAGCAGTAGCCTCAGAGTTTATATTTGGGTCCAAGACTTCAACCTGCAAATCGTCTCCTATCAGGGGGAACTAGTGCCCTTTAGTACTCAACGTTATCATGAGGAATTCTCGGGTCAATGGTGCCTCAGTACATGGATCGTACAGGAAAACCTTGCATATAGGTTCTGAATACTAAATAGATATTAAATAAATAGAGTCAATGATAAATGTGGATGTTAATAGAGTTCAGTGTCCTGTGGACACCTTCTGCCCTGTGCACATAGATGATAGCCCAGGAGGGCAAAATACAGCCTCTAGGGTGTCACCAACACCCTCAGCCCATGCCCTGGTCAAGGCAAAAGCAAACACTCAGCAGGTCAGGGCTGCTGGACTCCATCTGTGAGGTAGGCACCACTCTCTGGAAGGAACACGGAGAAGAGGTGAGGTGACAGGTTGGAAAAGTCACGGAAACACTGCTCCTTCTTTGTATTTATTTGGGACCTTTGAGTTTCCACAATGCCTCCTGCCTGCATGCCCACCTAAATACAGGGTCATGGTTCCCAGCCAGACATCAATTGTCCCTAACGTGGTATCCCGCCACCACCTAAGAGAGGTCAGCTCAATTGAGCCAGACAGTACACTTCTTGTCTAGAACAGAATTTCAAGTACCAACACCCATTTCCTCTTGTCTGTCCTTATTTGGATGCTGTCTCTGCTCCTCTGTTACACAGAGCATATGAGTCCATGGCTCCCAATGGAAATCTAATTTCCATTGAGTCAGGCCGAGTCACTGATGGAGCTGCTGCCCTGGGTGGTGAATGACTCCACTATCTAAACCCTTCCCCGAATAATTTATAGACGGGGTAAGAAAGAAGACTTGCACAGAATAAAAGGGGGATGTTTTAGAGAAGAATAAGGCCAAATTAAAGGGAGCACAGTGTAGAATGGGTTCGGGCTCAGCCACTAGTTTGAAGCACCTCAAACACGACCCCCTTTTAGATGCCACAAATGCCACCTGGGTCCACAAAAGATGGCTCCTCAGAAGCTAGAGAGAGACTGAAGGAAATGTGCAGAAAAAGAGGCATCTCCCCCTTCGGTATCTCTAAGACAGGGCTTTTGTGTCAGCTCTTGTTTGGGGAACGCAAAATGAGGCTGACAGATGTCATGGGAGATGGTGTCTCAGATGGGAAAATGATCTTGACATAAAAAGCCAGTCTCTGAAAGCATCTTGTTTCAGACTTCTCAAAGACCCAGGGACATTTTCAATGGAAGGCTGAGTGCAGTGGAGTGGGGGTGCTGTCCCAGAGCTGTCCTATCACCAGAGGCTGGTCCTCACACACAGACATTTTCCTATACCGCCCACATGATGTGACAAGTATGCTTGAACTAAGATGTAGAGGGTCCAGGCCAGGCCCTGGGACTCTCAGGCCTTGACAACACAGTGAACTCTGACAGCATCTTTAATGAGGTAGATGCTCTCCTGTGTCCTAAGACACAGAGAGAAACTTGCTCAAGGCCACAAAGCTGAGATGTGTCAGAGCCAGAATTCAAACCCAAAGGCCAGGCTCCCCATTCTTTGTCTTAGCCATGGTTTAGAAGCATCTCTCCACACTGTGTAGCACGTCTCTCCTGAGGGACCACCACAGCTGGGGAGAGCAAAGGAGTTCAGGTCTAAGGCTAACGTGGCCTCATTAGCAGCCACAGGTTAAAGGTACAGAGGACGTGTGGCTAATGGGAGGAAGCAATCAGTGAAGGGGTGAATTTTAGAATGGCTGTGAGACTTTAAAGTTTACATAACACAAGTACCAGAGTTAGGCTATGCTGAAATAAGTGGATGTGTGGCTGAAAGGATGGATGATGGATCAATGGATGGATGGATCAGTCAATGAGGGATGGATCAATACGTGGGTGGATGGAGGAATAGATGGATGGATAGATGGATGGATAAATCAATGAATGGATAGATGGATCAATAAATGGATGAATGGATAGATTTGTGGATGGATGGATGGATGGATGGATGAATAGTGGATAGATGGAGAGATCAATGGATGGATGGATGGATGGATGGATGGATGGATGGATAAATCAATGAATGGATAGATGGGTCAATAAATGGATGAATGGATAGATTTGTGGATGGATGGATGGATGGATGGATAGATGGATGGATGGACATATGGACAGATGGATGAATGATGCATAAGTAGATGATGGATGGTAGCTGAATGGGTAGACGATAGATATCCGAATGGATGTGTAAGTAGATGGATGAATGGATAGACATATAAAGGTCATTCTTGAAAAGACGGTGGAGGAAATGGCTGTTTTTCATGAAGGGGTGTGAGTTCATACGCTTGGAAAAGCATCTGTATTTTCTCTCCACTCCAGCCTCATCCCAAGAGATGATCTGGCTCTTCTTCTCATCCTCCACCATCTCCAACTCTGACATCATCATCCTGAGTCTGTACTGCCCACTAAACAGAACCTCAAGAATACCATCAATTATAATTACATCAAGTGTTAAAGGAAAAAGACACACTAAACTGATTTCAAAGAAAACTCTGGTACGGGACGGGAACTCCGAGCCCTTTCCTAGAACATCAGAAATTCAGAAATGGTTCTGTGCTATCACGAACACCACCACTGTGTTATTCAGTTCAGACGAACTGGATGTCCACATGATTCAACATGTAGCAGACACAGAAAGCAGAGAAAGGCCACTCTCGGCCTTCACCCCGTCAGCCACAATTACAATTAATTCAGATTTGGAAGATATACTTTCAGAATTGTGCAGGAACCAAACACTAGTGTATTTGAGAGTTCAGGAATATCTAATTGGGTGTTTTCAGATGGATCTGGAGACTAAGTCAAATGCTGTGGGCACTAAGATGAGCAAAAGATGATGTATATGAGACTGCTTACTGTTTCTACTAAAGGTAGAAGTGGTAGTCGGAGAGGCCAAAAACCAGCCTCCATCTCAACTACAACAAAACCAGTGCCTTGAGTCTTGCAAACTAGTCTTTGTGGAGGCACTTGACGCAAATGTTCTCGTTCAGGTCCTCTGCTGGTTACCCCCTGCCCCACCCCATTCTAACAACTCCATTTTTATAAAATGTTCCAGAGCTCATTGTCCCCCACAGACGTGGCAGCATTTTCTATGCTCATGCAAGCATCTGGGGGGATGACAGTCTCTTCCTGCAGTCATCCAAAATCAGCATCCCTGATACAGAAGCCAGCTCCATGTCAGCTCTCCTTTAGACATACGTGCTCTCCCTCTTCTGACATGTAAAAGCAATGTCCCCTGTTGTCATCTGCAGAGACCGCTTCAAGAATCAGCGGATGCTCTGTGGATAGTGCATTCCACTCAGATTTCCCTTTATCATAACAAATAGATGAGATACTAGGCTGACTAGGATGCTGACACGTTGTCCTCAAAGCAACCAATTTCAATATTGACTCACATCATGAATGCACTAAATTCCCGCCTGAGGACACAACACATGATTTTAAAAAGCACAGCATGAAAGTCACCTTTTGCTCTGCCCTGAGTTGCTGGTGGACATGTGGTTATGAAACCTGCCAAGGGGCCCTGGAAGGACACAGTGACCTGGACAGAACCACAGCTCTGGGTTCTCCAGCCTCAGAGGCTTCCCAAACAACTCAAGGCCTCAGAAAGGGAAGTTTCCTTTCACACACTAATGAAATCAGAGCATTTCAGAATTGAATGCAACCTCAATTAAAAGGAACACAAATGGTGACAACACATGAAAAGATCTGTGCCTTTAAACGTTCCTTCCGATAATTTACTTTGTTCCATGTATCCATAAAAAGGCAAAAGAAATAGTCTAAAGACATAATTTCTGAATTAATTTTTCCTGACAGTCTCATCTCACCAAGATCTGCAGGAAAATAGCAAAAAATACATCTTAGTTTGGGTTTCTCAGAAAGCAGAGCCTGAGGTAAACACTGTGCTGTAATTTTATTAGAGAGGGT